AAAATGGAGCCTTGAGCAACAATGGAGCTTTGGGGGAAAGAGGTAGGTCAACTTGGAGGAAGAAGACACCTTTATATAGTGTGGGAACACATCCAACCGTTACCTCACTGTGCAGCCCCGCACAGAGCGGTACTATCGCTGGGGCAGGGCGGTACTACCGCTGAGAGCGGTACTACCGCTCCCTGCCCAGCGGTACTACCGTGCTGGAGAGGAAGCCAGGCCACTGGCCCCAGAGCGGTACTACCGCGGGAGTAGGAGCGGTACTACCGCTCGTAGCGGTACTACCGCTTCTACTACCGCTTTTAGTGCCGCAAAACCCAACACGAGAAAACACCGTCTCGAATCGAGGCGGCAGTAGCGCGGTACTGCTGCGGTACTACGGCCGAAGCCCGCGAGCGGTACTACCGCTCTACGGAGCGGTACTACTGCTGGGAGCGGTACTACCGCTGGAGGGCTTTGGCGGTACTATCGCTGGAGATCGCGGTACTACCGCTGGCACAGGGCGAAGCATGTATGGAAGAGAAGTTGCGGCTCCAGAGTTGCGAAAGGAAGACGACGGGTGTGATAAGGATGTGTACGTGTTGATTCCACCCTAGTCTTACCAAAGCGGATCCCCTCTTAATAGTACGGTGACTCCTACGAAACTAGTCCACCAACAACGAAACGAAGGAGCTACACCGTCTTGACTAAAACACCGAGGGGAGAAAATCGTCTCGTGCCAATGGATGATTCTCTGACAGAACTTAACGCACACGATTAGTCCACAAAAGCATTGTCATCAATCACCAAAACCACTAGGGGATAAATATGCCCTTACACGTGTGCTGAACACGGAGGTGCCGTACGTTCGGTGCTTGGATCGGTTGAGTCGTGAAGACGTACGACTACATCAACCGCGTTGTTATAACGCTTCCGCTTGACGGTCTACGAGGGTACGTAGACAACACTCTCCCCTCTCGTTGCTATGCCATCACCATGATCTTGCGTGTGCGTAGGAAAATTTTCGAAAATACTACGTTACCCAACAGCCAAGGGGCGCCCCAAGTGGGGCTAAATCCCACTTGGGCTCCTGCCCTGGTTCGGCCCCCCTTTCCTTGTATAGGTGCCAGGGGAAGGAAGGGGTAGGTGGCGCCCCCCCCCTTTCCTTTCTCCCTTGAGGAGGGGGGAGGGGAAGAGGGACTTGCCCTCCCCCCTTTCCTTTCCCTAGGGTTGGCCGGCCTGGTTGAGGGGCACACCAGCCCCTTGTGGGCTGGTCTGTCCCTCCCTTGGCTCATTAAGCCCATATATTTGCCGGGGGTGGGGGTGGGGTGCCCGGAACCCCTTCCAGTGACCCTATATGTACCCGGTAACCTCCGGAACACTTCTGGTGTCCGAATACCATCATCCTATATATCAATCTTTACCTCTCGACCATTTCGAGACTCCTCGTCATGTCTGTGATCTCATCCGGGACTCCGAACAACATTCGGTCACCAAATCACATAACTCATATAATACTATATCGTCATCGAACGTCAAGCATGCGAACCCTACGGGTTCGAGAACTATGTAGACATGACCGAGACAACTCTCCGGTCAATAACCAATAGCGGAACCTTGATGCTCATATTGGCTCCTACATATTCTACGAAGATCTTTATCGGTTGAACCATTATGACAACATACACAATACCCTTTGTCCATCGGTATGTTACTTGCCCGAGATTTGATCGTCGGTATCTTCATACCTAGTTCAATCTCGTTATTGGCAAGTCTCTTTACTCATTCTGTAATATATCATCCTGCAACTAAATCATTAGTCACTTTGCTTGCAAGGCTTCTTATGATGTGCATTACCGAGAGGGCCCAGAGATACCTCTTTGATACTCGGAGTGACAAATCCTAATCTCGATCTATGCCAACCCAACAAACACCTTTGGAGATACCTGTAGAGCATCTTTATGATCACCCAGTTACGTTGTGACGTTTGATAGTACACAAGGTATTCTTCCGGTGTCCGGGAGTTGCATAATCTCATAGTCGAAGGAATATGTATTTGACATGAAGAAAGAAATGGCAATAAAACTGAACAATCATTATGCTAAGCTAACGGATGGGTCTTGTCCATCACATCATTCTCCTAATGATGTGATCCCATTATCAAATGATAACTTATGTCTATGGTTAGGAAACCTTAACCATCTTTGATCAACGAGCTAGTCAAGTAGAGGCTCACTAGGGACACAGTGTTTGTCTATGTATTCACACATGTATTTAGGTTTCTGATTAATACAATTCTAGCATTAATAATAAACCTTTATCATGATTTAGGAAATATAATAATAACCATTTTATTATTGCCTCTAGGGCATATTTTCATCAATTACATTATGTCATGTGTCATTGGTTTGTCATAATAAATACATTATAAAATACATATATCATTACATAGTGAAAGCATACATATTATTCAGTAGATAGCTCCCTTTCTCCCGGCTCTTGGTGTCCAAAAGATTCTCAAACTGAGATGCATATTACACCTTCACCAGTTGCGAACAAATGCAAACTCATCCAACTTCTTCTTTGTAAACCTACAATAAGATCCCAATCACGCTTGAATTATAGATACCAACTCCCAAAGAAACACCAAACATGTATTTAGGGGCAACTATTGGCTCTAGATTTACTACCCATGTGCCAATGACAGTATCCCAGGAGGACAAGACCTGAACTAACTATGCCCTCAAACAAGGTCTTGGCAACAATCCAATCCTTTTTAATTCATAGCTTGGTAATCCCAAGTAATGCTTACCTACTTAGAGAAAATTAATTACATTACTAAATTTCCCATCTATGTTGTGCTGAATAACAAGCCTCACTCAGTTAACTGAGTGTGAAACATTTTATTGTCAAACATATCCTTGTAATACATACCAAAAACATATTGTAGTTAGTAGCAAGCCAACTAATGCCTTTCCATGGGTTGCACACTCGGAAATGGAACACATAAGTGACAAGAGAAAGTCTCGGCATTGGCCTAGTCCAACTCGAACTATCCCTTGAGCTTCATGGCTTTGTGCCCCCCTACCATCGCCGCCGTAGACGACGCACTGGGAAACTAGAACATCAGTGACTAGAGCAGTTTGGTCGTTGGCGTGGCGCAATAGCTTATCGCACGCCATTGCACAGTAGAGGGGTCGGAGGTGTAGAGGCAGAGTACATGGGCACCTCTGACGACGTGAAGTGCACCGTCCGCCGCCTTGTCAAGGAGCGCCATGCGGAGGCGCCATGCGATGGGGTGTAGTGAGTCCAGGCGACGATGGTGAGGCGGATGACCGCGAGGGTGGATGGAGTACAACACATGTGGTAGCTGGCACTGAGCTCGGATGGCGGTTGGTGGGACACGGCGGCGACACCCTAACCCTAGCTTTCGGCCGCTCACATGGTAATGCGGAGAAAATGGGGAACTGAAGGAAAATACTTCGGGAACGAGGGGAGGATGTACATGGAAAAAAATAGTATGAGGCAAATAAACCAGAAAAGGAGCGGAGCAAAACGTACGAGTGAGAGGGAGGAGAGTGACCGGTTTGAAAAAAAAAATCAATGAGATGAGGACATCAAAAACCCTACACCTAAAAAAAATAGTTACGAAAATTGACCAGTGCACGTACCTATCTTGCTCTCATCAACCTTTACCCCCTGAATAGGGTGGCCACTCTTCCCTCTAATCAAAAGCTGCCAACTAATCCGTTGTAACTATTTTACGTAGATTGCGCGAGAAGGGATGAAGGTGAAATGAACAAAACTACTAGGTACCAACAGGCCATCATAACCGCAGACTTCACTTTTATAATAGAGATTCATTATGTAAGTCTCCAAGGATCGATATGGCGAGCTAGAGCTGTAGTGCATGGCAAACATGTTGTGCAACTCTGAAAGCCATTTCTGAACCAACCCGTAGTCAGATGGTTATGAGGACAGTGGAATTCACTGTCCATCAGAGTTTAAGTTCCAAACTTACACCGGTACTTGTATTTTTTTAGATTTATTTCAGGTCTTTCGGCGATGTGCTTTCAGTGGAAGAAGACCAATGACGATTCTATGTATATTCTGTTGGGTTAATTGACCCCACAACTTTTAGAGAAAACAACATAAATTTACTGTACATGTACAATGCGCTGTGAACGAAATTATGTTAGAATTTACTAATGACCCCGCAGATTATATTGGCTGGCTTTGCTAGTGGATGAGACGTTTTCGTCGACTACAAAGACGTATAGGGGTAAGATATGCGTGTGTGTGTTCATGTATGACCATTTGTCTTTGTACTATGTTAAAAAAACACTCAAAGCTATTTTTCGTCTTTTAAATTGCTTTTTTTAGGATCCGTCTTTTAAATTGCTGTTGCGTCTAAAGTCGCGAGACCTTCAGCCTACGGTGCCCCCCGACTAGTCCTGGCCATGGGAAGCCCGGCCCGAAAAAGCCCGGCCCGGCCTGGCCCGACGCTACCCCTGGGCCGGGCTCGGGCCTAGTTTTTGAGCCCGAAGGCCGGGCCGGGTCGGGCCCAGGCCCGTCATTTTTGTAGTTTACTGAAGGTCGGGCCGGGCCGGCCCGAAGCCCGACGGGCTTTTAGGTGTTTGGGCCGGGCTCGGGCCCAGAAACACAGGCCCGATGGCCGGGCCGGGCCGGGCCCGGGCCTGGGTTTTTTGTGTCGGGCTTGGCTAGGCCCGGCCCGAAGCCCGGCCCGGCCCGAGGTTTGGCCAGGTATACCCCCGACCGCCTCCTCGAACGCATCCAGGGCCCATCTCCACTCCAAACCCACGAACTCACCGCTGTCCCTCCCATCTCCGGCGGCGACCACGGCATTGAAGCCGGCGAGAGTGGTCTTAGGCGCTTATCCATCTGGACCGGTTGATTGGAGCACAAACACGGGAGCGAAGAGCGGAGGGACGCGGTCCCGTGCCGTCCTTTATTCTTAAGAAGAATCGGCTCGGTCCCGTGCAGCGGCGGCGGCGGCGGACATGTCTGTCGAACTCGTCCTCTGGCTCTTCTCCTTCGCCTCTGTGATGGCCCTCGTAGGCCTCACCGCCTACCAGGCAAGCTCGGCTCCTTGTCCCTTTAAACTTTCTGCCTTTGAGCCGCGAGTTTGGTCAAGATCTGCCGCACAATTGGCGAGATTCCTCACCAAATTGGGCTTCAGCTGGCCAGCTTTGTGGAATTCTGAACATAATTTGGGCAGGGATTTGGTCAACGGTGTAGTTCTTGTCGTTCTTCCTTGCCAATATTACCAGTATAGTTGGTCAACTCGAGGCGGAAAGAAGATAGCCAGTATTAGGTCAGCTGGACTGCGATTCAGCAAACTAGATCATGTCTAACTTACACTCACAAATCATATTTGTATAGAAAGCTCCGCTACATTTGGTTAAATGCATCCAAAGTTTCTGTGCTGCTCAGTTTTGCTCATCTACTTCCATGTTGGATGAAATGAAGTATTTCTGATTATCGTTCCTGTTGGAATGTTAGCACAAGCTACTAGGTAACATCCTGGTGCTTCCATAGCTTGTAACATCCCAGAAAGTGTGGTTGTCGAGAAACCAGCATGATCATAGGTCGGACATGCATTATTGTAGCTTTAGCACCCAAAGCCTAAACAACACGATAGATAATAGTTTATAATTGAATAAATCCTTTTGTATAACAGTGTAAGACTGTAAGTTGATATTGTTGTCACGGTGCGGTATGTTGCTGCAATAATTATGAAGTGCTATGCGTTTATGCATCCCAGTATAGAGAAAAATTCGGTTTAATAATTTTAGATTTGTTGCTGCATCAAGAATGGTCACAATTGGTTGAGAGGTGCAAATCTGTATGGATAGAATTTATATAGAGAAACTAAAGTTTGTTTTAGCTTACTGCAAAATAAGTTATTTTCTCTTCTTATTGATTCATTCCACTGATTTTTCTTTGTGTTTTTGTATCAGCTTATCTGCTTATCTGATTTGGAGTTTGACTATATCAATCCATATGATTCATCATCTCGCATCAATGCAGTGGTCATAATAGAATACGCACTCCAAGGGGTCCTCTGCGCTTCTTTCCTCTTGACGCTGAATTGGTTTCCGTTTCTAGTTATGGCTCCTGTAACATATTACCATGTGAAGCTGTATGTACTTCTTCCTTTAAGCCCTGTAGTTTATCCTCAAACTATAAATGCTTGTTTGGTCATTTCCCTATTGTATTGCTATTATTTATTTGGATTACTTTATATCTCAGATTAGTTGTTCATTTGGGGAGGAATCTGTAATGCCTCTATCATTGCGGAGTTCTAGTATACATAATTAGTTTTTGGAAATTTAAATGTTTACTAAAGTATTTGTCATCGTCATGACATAGTGAAGGATAGAAACATATTAAGTGCTCGCAAGAACTTCTTTTAATGATCTGGAGGCTGAGCATTTGTAGTTGCTCTCTCATTTTGGGCTATTCATGTTTTATTGTTCTTCATGACCTTCCACATTTAACATATTGGTCTGGATATTACGCATTTAGACAAGAAATGGTGTGCATATATGCCCTAATAACAATGTTGTGTCTGGCTTATATTTATTCTCTTGCTGTTGTCATAATATGATAAGATCTACTCTACAATGTACCTGCTATATGTGCTTTGATCTTGACATGCATCATTTCCTTTTTACCATTCCACACAACGAAAGAACCATTAGACATTGTTTGCCTTGCACTAACCTTCACTTACTCAAGTACTCCCTCTGTAAACTAATATAAGAGCGTATAGATCACTACTTTAGTTATCTATAAACGCTCTTATATTTCTTTACGGAGGGAGTATATAGTTATCCTACGATCAATGCAAAAACTTCTTAATCTTGCTTTACTTTATGTTTCTAATCTGACCCATAGAGCCTTGTTTGTAATTACAACACAGTAATAACATCTACATGTTGTTGGACTGGTTAATTTATTGTTGGACATTTACAAGTCGCAACAATAGTTTGCTATGCATCAAAGCGATAAGTGACTTCTATGGAGACAACTAATTCTAGCATAAAGGAAATAGAAACAAAGTCGAATACAAGCAATACAGCAGGAAACAGCTATTAACTATGCACAGCTCTTAATAAATAATCCAACTAAGAGGATGAACCTGAATGGCGTAAAGTGACTCCAAACGTGAAAATTATTGAAGTTACATCACATGTCTTTTACCTGCTGGTAAACCCACAAGTCCCAAGTAGAGGAACAGTAATACCTCAAAAAAAATTGGTTTTCTCAGTCATTTTCAATCTCTTTTTCCTCAGTTGATTAGTTGAGACTTTAGACCTGAAATAAAGTGCTTTAGCTTGTTGTATTGAGAAGAGTAAATGAACTTCTGTAAGATACCCAATCTATACTGGTAATCTGCTTCTTGTATATAAAAATGATAATGCATCTGCGGGTCGTAAGTAGTAACCACTAATTCCTATATTAACTTCTTATTATGAAAAAAAAATGCATATACCTTTCTAATGTGATCTAAGTACAATTGCCTATGCAAGGCATTTATCCTGCATATTTTACTTCCATTTACCTTTTCATCTCATGCCTTCATGTTCTGGGTCATGATAGTTAAAGGAATATAATTATTTAGTTTTTTTTATCAGGTATATGAATCGGAAACATCTTATAGATGTTACTGAGATATTCCGACAGTTACATGGAGAGAAGAAGTACAGGATGATCAAGCTTGCCTTCTACTTTGCATTATTTATTATATCCATTTACAGGTTTGGTGGCAGACTATTTAATTTAACTTACCATATTTATGATTGGATAATCTGTTTCTGCAAATGTATTCATATGCTAGTCTTAAACATGGTTCTATCCAGTGAAAAAAAAGCGCACCTAGGCGAGCGCATAAGCTTGCCTAGGTGCTAGGCGACAACAAAATATCTAGCGCTTAATTGTGCTAGTCGTGCGCTTAGGCTAGATAAGCGCTACGCAGTGGCAAAACACACAATTAACACCTACCACTTTCTTTATCCTTCTTTCTACTTCTCAGTTAGTCACAGACAACCTCGGACATTATAAAAAACGCTTGTATATTGTCATATCCTAGTGCCCTCTGCCGTGGTGAAGTACTCCCCACTTGTGCCAAGAGGTCCGGGGTTCAACGCGGTCTCTCTACATTGCACTGTGCAGGGGAGCTTGCCTCGTATAATCCCTCCCCAGACCCTACCTGGCGTGGGACGTTCAAGCGCTGTGTCTTTCCTTTTTCTTAGTACTTCCTTGCACGCTTCCGATTCAGCTTCCAGTGCATTATCACATGTGAAGAGCTGCCTACAGGCAGTGTAGATAATCTAACCGGCAGAGTCACGAAGGACGATGCCACAGCCAGTGGAGCCGTCGGTGGCGAGATAGCTGCCATCCGTGTTGAGTTTGGCTCATCCCATATTAGTTCCCGGGCTGCGTGTGAGCGTTTCAAACTGAGTCGTCCGCTGTCCACTTGGAGAACCATTTTGCCTTTGGTCTGGTCATCTCGAGGAAACTGCTTGACACACAACAACGAGTTTATGTAGCTGTTGAGAAACCGGCGGGAAGCTTCGGTTGGAGGCGGTGCTTTATCATGTGTGATCTCGTTCCGGACATGCCAGGTGTGCCAAAGGACCATCAGCAGCACCATGCGATTGACTTCTGACAGCTCATCCTACATGCCGAATAGCCATTCCGGCTACTTGCTGCGGACATCCTCGACCACAAGTCCTTAGCCTGCGGGCATCTGCACATAGTGTGGTAACCATCCTCGTGTTCCACAAGGGGCACAGACCATTGGGTTCCAAATAGCGAGAGAATTAATTGGCCCAAGTGGCAAGAGAAGTTGAGACCAGCCACCAGGCAAACGCGCGTACCTTAGGGGGAGCAGGGCACCCCCATATGGTCTTCCAGTTCCAGAAGGTGCGATGACCATCCGTTGCCCTGCTCGAAGCACTTGCCAACGGATGCTCACGCTCGTCCATGGCAAATCGTTATACTGAACGAACTGAGAAGACACCGGATTTCTTCGGGGGCCAGGCGAGGACGTCATCGGGGACACGTGGAGAGGTGTTGATGCGATGATGGCGTCGATTGGGAGAAAGTGTTGGTGACGGAGATCCACCCGCCAGGTGCCATTGGCATCCAGCAGGTCCGTGGCGCGTCTTAGCCGGCATGTCCCTTGGGCGTGAGGAGCTTGCCCGCCGGATCCCCGTGTCAGCCATCGATTCCTCCAGATGCGGATTTGCCCTCTGCTGCCCACCTGCCAAATCAGCCCCCTTTTCAGCAGCTCCAATCCAACTGGATCGCTTGCCATGTGACCGACACATTGCTGAAAAGTCAGTGTTCACCAGCCGCCCCTCTGGATAATATCGAGCTTTTAACACCTGCGCACAAAGACTCTCGGGTTTGGTTAGAAGTCTCCAAGCTTGCTGAGCTAGCAGTGCTTGGTTGAACACCCTGAAGTCATGGAATCACAAACCACCAGTGAGTTTATGCTTCTGGATTTTAGGCCAAGCCTGCCAGTATGTTTTTTGCTTCCCCTCCGATGATCCTCACCAAAAGTTACGGACCATCCTGCTAAGATCATCACACACGGACATGGGAAGCTTGAACATCCCCATCATACAAGTGGGTATAGCCTGTGCAACCGCTTTGATCATCGTCCTTTCCTGCCAGAGATAATGTATCACTCCACCCTTTGTTAAGCGAGCTTGCAAGTTTTGACATTTGCCCTTTGACATCCTACCTTCCGGTGTCGGCAGCCCTAAATATTTCTCTTCAGAAGTAGAGAGCTGAACCTGCAGTGCTGCATGTACCCCTTCTGAACTATTTCCAGACAGGCTTTTCCAAACATTGTACTGCATTTGGCTGGGTTAGTGAGCTGAGCAGTAGGGCCTAAATAAGCCATGATGATAGAACGGACCTCCTCCGCTTGCTGTGTTTCTGCCTTAAAGAAGAGCAATGTATCATCGGCGAACAAGAAGTGAGAGATACCAGGAGCACGCCGGCATACCTTCAGGGAAGTAAAATGTCCTTTTTCCTCGCCATCCTTTAACAAGGCAGAAGTCCGTCAGCAATAAACAGGAACAAGAACGGAGAAAGAGGGTCACCTTGCCGTAGCCCGCGCGACGGTGCAAACGAATCTAAGAGGTGACACAAGTAGGAGTATAATCGGGTTCATCCATCAGTCAGAGAAACCCAACTTTTGCATCGTCCGCTTCAAGAAAACCTAATCAACCTGATCATTTGCCTTTGAGAGGTCCACAGCTTATAGGCGCAGAAACTCTTTGCTGCATCCTTCTCCTGCTGGATATGATGTATGCAGTCAAACACAACCAACACATTATCTGTTATCGTTCTTCCTCGCACAGGAACACTTTGAAGTTTGAACTGGCGATATGATCTCATCAAGAATTAACCTCAACCTGTTAACTAAGCACTTGGCACCACCTTATAAATGACTGAATTAAGTGAGTTTTACCGGATTATCAACTTTTGGGATGAGGACAATGGCAGTGTTATTCACCTGTTCATGCATAACTCCTGACCGGAAAAATTCCTTCACACCAACAATTTGGTCCTTCATTATTGCCCAGTTTGTTTGAAACATCCGCTCCGGAAATCCATCCGGTCCAGGGGCTTTGAGCGGGCGTATCTGGAAAAGTGTGTAACAATCTCCTTATCAGAAAGTTCTGCATACAGACCATCATTCATATTGTCAGTCACACGAGCGTTGATAAGGTCAATTACTTGATCTGCACACACTGCTGGATCAGCAGTAAATAAATTTGCGAAGTAATCTGTCACCAGATCTGTTATGACCGGTGTCACTTATAGCCGGAGGAGGCTCATTGGGCGCGTCTAGTTAGGGGCTTAGCCCAACTTATCTTATTTTTATTAGCAGCAAGGATTATATAAACAGATGTAAGGCTACCTTTTGGAATTAAGCAATAAGTCATAACTATTTCCCGGCTCCTAAGGCTCCCCTTAGGAGCCAGAGCCCTAAACCCTAGCCGCCTCTCACCACCGCCGCCTCCTCCTCCCGCGCGATCACGGCGCCGACGCTCCGCCGGCCGCGCCCAACCTCTTGCCAACTCACCTCTCACCCCTACAACCTACGGTCGAGACCCGGTAGGACCCTAGCTCCTGTTGCTGCGCGAACTTGATCCACACAGCACCACAGAATCCTCACTTTCGCGGAGGTAAACTGACCGTTTTTCAATGCAAAACGGCAAAGATCAGCCAAACCCTAGAGTTGCTAGGGCTGGGCAGAAGCTACGAGCTAGGTGCTGAAAAGAAAAGAACGTAGGAGAAAAAGCAACGTAAGGTTGCAAAAGGATCGATTGGTTGTCTTTCCAATCGGTCAAGTACCCCATATATATATAGGGGCGCGCCCTGGTCTTTGGCTGAATCGGAGTAGGACTCCTTTTTCACGTATAGAAGGTAATCCCTGTTTTGCTTCCTCTGCAAGCAGGTCAAATATAATATTCCTAATCCCTAATTAGCCCGGCCAGCACCCAAAACACATGGGACAGCAGCCCAGCCCTATACTAGTACGTACTAGCCTATATTTGGGCTTGTTTCAGCCAACAACTACCTCATGCAGAACCTTCTCTATCTCAAATATTCTCCAGACCAGATTTCTTCCTTGCCCCTCTGCTGTCTAAGCAAGAACTCCATCATCGAAGTATTACCGCATTTATCCTCTGCACTGAACATATTTCTGATCTGCACTTTTAGCTGAACTCTGATTCCAACACCTATCAAATTTGTAAAACTGGCAAGCAAAATTTCATCATTAACACATGCCCCCTTGTTTTTGGTATGATTGCATCTACCAAAAACACTATAGCGATACCTTTGGATGATGTCAATTGCTTCATCGGTCATATCATTGCTCAGGGCGATGTCCAAATAACACATTGGCCATATTTTGCTTAGGACGATATCTTAAATAATATCGGCCGTCATGCCATCAAGCCTCCTGCCACATACTAGGATAATACTTCTTTAAATATTTTCCATTGAGAGCTTTAGGCAATTTCTCCCCATGCAAAGATTTTACAAAATATGAATTCCCAGGAACAATTTCAACAACTCTATATGTGCCTTCCCAACTCGGCGACCACTTGCCGAATTTATTGTTCCTAGTTCCAACAGGCAAAATCGTTTTCCACACCAAGTCTCCTATTTGAAACGATTTTTCCCTCACCCTTTTGTTATAAGCCTTAGCTACTCTTAACTTTTCTTTTTCAATTTCCTGTAAGGCTCTTAATCTTTCTTCTGGAACATCATCAATTCTGTCCAGCATCAAATTATTATAGTCTACAGCCGACAAATCATTTTGTCTGGCTACTCTAAGAGCTTGCAAATTAACCTCTACAGGTAACACTGCTTCTTACCTTCCTGTCCATACACTAACTCATATGGTGTCACTTGAGTTGCTCCAAGCTTAGATATGCAATGAGCCCATAAAGCCTCTGAAAGCACTTCATGCCACTTTCTTGGATGCTTCTTAATTTTCTTCTTTATAAGCTTAATTAAAGTTTTATTGCTAAATTCGGCCTGTCCGTTAGCTTGAGCATAATAAGGCGACGAATTTAACAATTTAATTCTAAAAGATTCGGCAAACTCACGAAATTGATGAGACATAAAAGAAGAACCTTGATCAGTAGTCAAAGTTTGAGGAATACCGAATCTGCGAATAATATGCTCCAAAACAAAATTAATCACTTATGGGTCATATTTCTTAAAGGAATTGCTTCAGTCCATTTGGTAAAATAATCTGTAGCTACTAGGACGAAGCGATGACCATAGATGAAGCAGGATATATTTGACCAATAAAATCTAAACCCCATCCTCTAAACGGCCATGGCTTAATAATGGAATGCATCATAGCTGCA